GCCGGAGCAGTCATCGTCAGCGCCAGGCGCGGGCAACAGCGGAAAGAGATAGTTGGCCGAATCTTGGTGCGCGCCAATAATGGTCAAAGGTTGAGAAAAGCTGCGAACTTTAGGCTCGAAGCGTGCAATAATTGAAGATTGGGGAAAAGGGTGGGTGAAGTATTCGAGAGAGATGTGGGTGCGGAAAGGCGAGTTGGAGATGATCTTGGTTCAGTAAGTTCATGCCCAAGGATTGTGGCTGTAGGGGAGGAAATACCTCAGCAATATGGTCGTGCAGCCATTCAGAGCTCTGTTCGCCGTGAAAGTCACCGTAATATCGGTTGTAGTAGGAGGTCATGTGCTGCAGGACATCGTGCATTCGTTGCGTCTCAATTTGAGAGAACAGCGGCTTCACGAGACCTTTATGGGACAGCTTGGGAAGGTCTGAGGGGGTTAGTCTAACAAGAATTACTGTGCCAGAAAGGAAGACTTACTGGGATCCCCAGAAACCGAAGCCATCGCCTGCTCCGCGTAAAAGTCCTGATGGTCGGTGATGTCTACGAACTTCTGACCGCGTTGGCGGAGGCGCAGCTTATCGCCTTCAGTCATCCATTCCGCCTTCTCTTCGCCTCTAATGTGCAGAAGACGAGGTTCAGCCAGAAGAGCTGCAGTTTCAGGACGTAAAGACACCATCGCAGCAACTGGGTCGGAATAAGTGTTCAAGGCCGAGACGATGGCCTCATCCACGACGTGTTCGCCGAGTGTAGTTTTTGGGACCTCGCGATCCGCGGCGAAGACTACTTGCGAGTCTGGCTGCGGGTGCGGGGAAGCCAAAGCTCCTGCAGTGCTCCAGAGGAGCAGAAGATGGGATGTTCTCATGATCACAACCAAATTGCGGCGGATATTTAGGTGCTGGATTACGGCCCTGTGAGCTGTGAAGTGTTGAGTCAGGCTTGTGGAGGAAGAGGAGAGATAAGAGGGTAAATAAGCTCTCCGGCGGCAAGGGGACAAAGCAGGCAACGGTCGGGCCTGGCTAGCGCCCGCCGGAGTCCGGAACCACGCTATTTGCTGGGGGGCAGCCTGAATTTTGGGGAAATTTGGTGCCTGTCATTTTCAATCGCCAGCCATAAATGTGGTTCCTGATCGGTGGATCCAACCTTCAAAGTCAATAATGCCACCATTCGGCGAAATCACCTTATCGAAGTGACTCATGCTTTACGGATTGAGTTGCTTAATTTCAGCATAAGCACTAGTTATGCCAATAGTGTCATATGAGAATGCTCATGGCTCGAGCGTTTTGACTACTCCGTACCATTGATGGCTTTATCCCGCCATCCTCTTGCTGCAACATCTTAAGTGACTGACAGCTACTAACTATACTTTGAAATTGCTATAGGCTATAACTTATACCAAATGAGATATAAAGCCGCTTCAGAATCACCAAATGGCTCAAGGTATCAGGCTAATGAAAGCTGTGCACATACTCTCAGTTGCTCGACAGGCTGCCCGATCGTGTGTGAGAAATGCTTCGCTTTCTTTGATTGCACAGACATGAGGCTTGCCAGCAAACATTCGTTGATTCAGTCATAAGAATTAGAAGTATATGGCAATGTTTTATGTCCGAAAGTAGTTGCTTTTTCAACTTCGCTCTCGTGCCATTGCGAAACCCATCACGACACATATACTATCGCCCAAGATGATTCAACAAGGAACTCTCCCCTCGCCAATGCACTGGCTGAAGGGGTCTTAGAATTGAGGTCAGCTCGAACAAAGAGATCGGCTACAACTAACCACTACACGGCTTTGAGTCCAGCCCAGTCCCGACGGTGGCCGGCATTACACTGGGTCTCGACGCTTCTACTCCACAGTTTTCTGCTTCTCATGCGATGACCATCCCCTTCTGTAAAAAGAACGTATTGAAGTCTTGCACAAGTCATAGCCCGTCGAAAATTGCTCTACCTTAGTTACCGTCACTGGTTTGACTGATTTTTCTCTAGATACAGCACTGAGAAAACCGACTTTCCAGGATACAGATGGTTCATACAGAACGAGCAGAACACATAAGTATTGAAGCAGTGGAGCTCAATCTTGTCGGTGTTGAGATGCCGTTTGAAGCCCAATGGGTACCATAGTTGGCTGAGCTGGAGCCATGGGACAGCGAGTGGAACTGCTGGCCGCATCCTCGGCAGCCAAATCCCGCCTTCCATTAATTGCACCCTGGACACTGCCATCCCTTCTCAACTTTCATACACAGCCTCACTCGTTTCGCCTGTTGCGATATCTACTTTTACTGTTAAGTGGACCCGACAGGTTGAGTTTCATCTGGCGGGTGGAGAGACTAACAGAAGCTAAGGGTAGTGCCTCTTCTCCCCTCCGATCGGCCCCTCTCTTTCTCGCCGCTGAACCTCCCCGATCTCTCACCGCATCCAGGGGCTGGGGAGCATTGAGCAATTGTTGCCCGTCTTATTCCCGACCTTCATCTGTGCTTCCTGCTCTTATTATCCTTGACTCGTCATGTCGCGAATGTGGGAGGTCGATCCGGAGACGAGGGCCAAGGTATGCCATCGTCACCCCTCCATCTCCTGTTTCTGCCACTGCCTCCGCGTCGACGTCGGAGCCTTGGACAACACACGCTGACTTCCCCGGATCTGCTCTCCCCCTCTAGCTCCTCCAGTTCTCCAAAACCAATGGCAACGATAAATGCTGCGACTGCGGCGCCCCTTCGCCTCAATGGGTATGAATCTTCCATCCTCAGACGTGCGCGGCACTGTCGCCACGATTCGCGCAACCGTACCACCCGACAATACGCCCACATACAACCATCACTGACACACACTCTACAACCAGGCATCTCCTAAGTTCGGTACCTTCATCTGCTTGAACTGCGCCGGCACCCACCGCGGCCTAGGTGTTCACATCTCCTTTGTCCGCTCCATCACCATGGACGCCTTCAAGACTTCCGAAATCCTCCGCATGGAGCACGGTGGCAACGAGCCGTGGAAGGACTTCTTCGATTCCCATCCCATCACGCAATCCGAAGGTCGCACATTCGAAGATTCCACCATAAAAGAGAGATACGAGGGCGAAGTTGGCGAGGAGTGGAAGGAGAGACTGGCTGCGAAAGCCGAAGGAAGAGAATACGTTCCGGGCCAACCCAAACCGCAGCAACCGAAGAATAAGGAACCAACATCTCGGTCGAGCACACCGCTCGCTGTCCGGACCGGATCCCCGGCATCCCATGATGGAGTACCGGAGATGAGTAAGAAGGAACGCAACGAGGCGTATTTTGCTCGGCTGGGTAACGAAAACTCCTCGCGCTCGGAATCGGTACCTCCATCGCAGGGAGGCAAGTTTACCGGATTCGGAGGCGGAATGCCGGTTACAAACACGCCCAAACAGTCAGGTAGCGGGGCGGCAATTCCAGGATTCGACGATTTCCAGAAGGATCCCATGGGTGCGTTGACGAAGGGCTTCGGATGGTTTGCAACGACTGTAGGCAAGAGCGCGAAGACAGTCAATGATTCGTACATCCAGCCTACAGCGAAGACGGTACATTCCCATCCATCCTTCGTTTCCATTCGTTATGGCCAGTAACTGATGACTTCTTCCACTGTTTAGATAGCAGAATCCGACCTTGCAGCTCAAGCGCGCGTTCACGCCGCCACCCTCGGCCAAAACATGCAACACGGTGTCCGTGGCGCAGCGGACCATTTTCATCGTTTCGTGGAAGGACCCGACGAAGCTGCAGCCGCAGCCGCGGCACGGAGAGGCCGCGTTGAACCGGAGAGGAAGGATTTCTGGGACTCGTTTTCTTCGGTCGCAGCGCAGGATAGCCATCGGAGGACCGCATCCAGGTCGAGTGCCATTGGCACTGCGGCAATGAAGACGGGGCCTAGTGGTGCTGGCGCTTCTTCGACTTCGTCTGCAGCTGCGTCGTCCGCGACAACTGGCACAGGGGCGGGCTCGTCCGCGACGGCAAGGAAGAGTACAGATGAAGGTGGATGGGATGATAATTGGTGAAGAAAGATAGAAACGAACAGATTTTAGACAAGCTTTGTTATTATTGTTCGGGGGATCCTAGCTGGATAGGTTACGTTAGATTGGTTACAGATATGGTGCATTACATTGCCTGTTTCATTTGTTCATCTGGCTGGAGTGTTGGTGTTGTGTTGTGCTGTGTGATGTGACGAGACATTCTTGCATGGCAGTGTGCGTATACAATTGATTGATATTGATTTTCTCCATTGGTAGCTTCTGGCTGCACTGTAGATTTTATTTCTTTCCTACCTACCATTGCATCCAGTTCCACAATGCCCATACACTAGCAAACTGAAGATACGTTCAAATCATGGATACTAAGTACCTAGCCAATCCTACGAATTACCATGATTCATGAATTCTCTGGTAGTCTTGCACAATATCATGGAATAACACGGCCTGACTATAGTACCAATAGTCAAAGAAATATCATTCTCTCATTAAACCATCCATCCCTTCACGTGGAGAAGAACCTGCTCACATCACAATGGCCAGGAGCCCATGTCAACCCAACCACCGACATAGAGAGCCTTCGGCAGAGAATAATAGACTCACTAGACTGTATTCTTTGTTTACTCCATAAATATCAACCCTATGACTGTTACTTCAAACTAGATAATAATATAGAGTTAGTTCGGATAGTAGTACCTACTGGTGAATGCGAACTGTTCAAAATCTCTGCAGGGACAAATTTCTTTTACTATGAAGGTACGGTCGTATTTCTTTAGGATATGAATTATAGTATGCAAGAAAGTTCAATTGAGAGGCAAGCTTGTTTTCATTGTTGGTCAAAGCTATGAGATTTTACTTACTTCTCCTGCTTCTTTCACTTACACTCCTCAGCTAGAGACTTGGCTGTTTCTCACAGTGGGATCAGAACGTGATAGAGAAAGATAAAGGAGAAATTCGAACTCAATTATAAAGTAATATCTATCCGCAACGCCAAATAAAACCAACCCGGATATCAATTAATAAAATCTAATCTAATCAATAATCTCCCTCGCCCTCCTCATCTCCTCCTCACTCGGCATATTGACAATCATCATATAAATAACTTTCTAAACCATTGTTAGCAATCAGCCCCAACTCAATAAAAAAAACTCAAAGTGATTGGGGTTTGAACATACCCTCTTCAACAACTTATTCAACCCACCGCCCACAAACCCCTTCGTACTCTGATGAGGGACAGGCTTGCCCTCCGCGCGAGCCTTCTCAGCCTCTTTATCTCCCCCTCTTGCCTTCTTCAGCGCAGCATCAGCAAGACCACCGAAGAAGGACGGTTTCGCTCCGCGAGCAGACCGTCCCTCGATACCCATCCAGCCGAGGATCGTATCGTCGGTGAATTTCCCTCCCGTAGCCATGGCGAGTAGAGATCCGCTGGCGGCTTTGTTGGTAGGGTCTGCGTATCGAGAGGTGAATTCGGGCTTGCAGCCCATGGCGAGGTTGCTTTCGGGGTTTTTGGCGATCTAAATTTATTATATTAGTCGATGGACAAGGCAACATGTGAGAGATGATGGAAACTCACGAATTTAGCTTGATCTCTCTTATCGTAGTATTCCTCAACTCCCTCCATCGCGCGATGCACTTTCCCCAGCAAGACTTCGTACTTTTTCTTCGTTGCCTCGTCGACATCCGGATTGTGCAGGTCGGGGAAGATGAGAGGGGAGAATTGGTCGAAGGTGGAGTTTGCTGTCGCGTTGGCTGTTTGGTATTTCTGTTTGACCCGGTGGAATCCTTTCTCTGGGGTTCGGGCGGAGGTGATGGTGTTGTTCATGTCGAGGTCGAGGATGGCTTCTTTTGATTCTGGGGCGTAGGTCATGAGGAGGCAGAAGAGACCGCGCGGCATGAAGAAATCTTGATTGATTTTGTCGAAGAAGTTTCCGGATCTATATGCATTCCCCTATTAGCATCTGTGTGTGTGTATGAGAAAAAAGTTGGGGGGTGGGTTAGGAAAATGCAAACAAACCTCCGTCTCCCATCAACAGCCATACCAATCCTCACGACCGCATCAGCCACAATACCCATCACAAACCCAACCGTAGGACTAACAAAGTATCCTCCCACATTGTTAGCCAAATTGATAACCTGAAACCACTGCGATCCAATACAGGATTTATTAGCCTTGTCGACATAATCAAGAAACATCTTCTGATCGATACCGAACTTCTCAAGTTCGGGGGCGTAGGCGCGCACGAATCCTCGCTGCCGGTCCTTTGGCCGACGCTGAGGCAGAACAACGGGATAATCAAGCTTCGGAGGGCCGAACTCTACACTTGTGTCGTAGTAGCTCCAGTTAAGAGGGACTGGATACTCCCGAACAAAGGATTCCGCTAGCTTCATGCTATAGTCGGCGTCGTCTTGATCGGGTGGGGGTGTGGTTGGGTAAGTTACCCCACGGAGGTGGTCTTGTGCTTCATCCAGTTCCCATTGGCGCTCGATGTCTTTGTCGACTTCGTCGTATTCTCGTGAGTATACGGAGTCTTGATCGTATTCGTGGAGTTTGACTGTGGACTTTTCGTCTTTGGGAGAGGGAGGTTTTTCGGTGGGATTGGGCGAGTCGCTCACTTCTCTGGATGTTTGCGGGGGAGGGTACTCGTTGTGTGTTGGAGGGTAGCTATTTCCTGTGGGAGGATAGCTATTTTGCGGTGGATAGCTGTTCTCTGTAGGAGGGTAGGTGTTTTGCATGGGTGGTTGACCGTGTTCCCAAGGGTGGTAGGCAGTGTAGGTTGGGGGATGGTTGTTCTCCATGGGAGGGTAGTTGTTTTGGAGGAGGGGTTGGCCATTGTGCATTGGAGGGTAATTGTTCTCCATATGAGGGGGGTAGCTGTTTTGAGAAGTACAATTGTTCTCCATGGGAGGTTGGCCGTTGTACATGGGAGGTTGACCATTCTGAACAGGAGGGTAAGTATTGTAGTTTGGAGAGTAGTTATTCTCCATCGGAGGAGGATAGTTGTTATGCATAGGAGGATGACCGTTTTGCGCTGGGGGATAGTTGTTCCCCATAGGCGGGGAATAGCCGTTATTCATGGGAGGCGGATAGTTGTTTTGCATGGGAGGTCGGTCATTATGTGTAGGAGGATAGGTGTTATGGGATGGTGGATAGTTGCTCTCCAGAGGTAAAGGAGGACTGTTGTTCTGCATGGAAGGACGACCATTCTGCATCGAAGGACGATTATGTCCCCCATCCTCAGTATGGTACGAAGGTGCCAAACTTTCAGTCTCTTCAACAGGTGATAAAGATTCCCCTTCCGCATGTTGTTGCTGTTTCTCTTTCTGCTTCTTTTCATGATGCTTTGCTTTTTGGGCTTTGACAGTTTCCGAGACGAGGCCGATCCCGGCACTAGCTTGTCGGATAAAGTAACCCATGATGAACAAACAAAGACAAGTACAATTAAAGGGGTATATTTCGCAGTAAGTCAAAGATGGAAGCTTAAAAGATTCTTGATCAAGTATTCAAATTAGACCAGCTAGATTGAACATATTTATACAGACCCTTGCCCACCATACCTCTCACCCCTCCCTCCCCTCGGCGATAAGAAAATAGCCCCCAAATGTATACGTGCTAGGGACCTCACCCGCCCAACCCCATAAAACAAGGGCCGCGTCAGCACTAGAACCACTTAAGATCAACAGCTGATTGGTCACCTCGTATGGCAAAAGCTTTTCTCTGCTGCGCCTTACTCCGCTGTCACATCTTAACCATAAAAAGTATCCCTGGTGTTCCACCTATTATGGGTCGATTTGGGGGCGGGTCTAGTCTGCCTTAGATATATGATAGGATGGATTTCAGGCAAGCTTTGGTGAAACACGTTGATTGTCTTGGTACGATGTACAGAGTAACAATTGAGTATCTACAGTACTACTTATCTATTTACCCTAACTATCTAGAATAGATTTATCCATTTCAGGCATTATAATTATCATAACTAGATACTACATCCCGTCACGATCATTAACAAAAATCCCACCGCTTCAATTATCATAGATAAGCGATCCTAAAATCATATCAGTAACAATGTGATGACCCTGACTCAATCCTACCCGAACAAAGCCTTGCGACAACTATCCTCTCAGCGATGAACCAAACCCAAACAGGCAATTGAGATGTTCGGGTGTGAATTGCGGGGTGCCCTAATCCTGATACAGCAATGGTCATCGCCGCACTAGCTTGTTCAAGTTTAGTCCTCTGAGTTGGATGCCGATCTCCGTCTGAGCCCCTGCCTCAGCCGCAGAGCTTGGTGGGACACATCGGAAATTGTTACCAGGATATCAGCCCCGAGCAAAACATAGATGTACAGCCGAGCATCGACAAGGCTGGATTTGGGACGATCAAACTGTGTGGAATCTGTCTTGATTGTCGTATTGGTGCTAATATGTGTATTGTGAAGTACTTCTGAGGAAGTCTAGTTTAAGTAGAAAGAAATATATATATGATATGTACACATAGTGTATGTGTATATTCAAGGAATGTATGTCAATATGTGCAGTAGAACAATAGTACAAACAGAGGAAAGTCGATGATGAACGTAAAGATCATTAAGTCAGTCTTGTTTATACCCAACAAACATTCTATATCATGAGATGCCCGGCTGCCGGCACGCAACGGGCCGCAGAAAGGAAGACGGGTCAGCCTTGACCCTAATTACTATGACCTGCTCAGAGGAACCCTCATTCAAGTCGAAAGACGATCTAACATCAGACCAGTCTTGACAAACCCCCCATTCTGACGCGGAATCAGTTATTCTTGTCTTACACTGCCTAGAGTTTCAGCATTTAAGAGAGATCTTTTGGAGACATTTATGTCAATGAGATTATTTTCTTGGTTTGTTAAATATGGAGTTAATTAAGATAAACAATAAAAATTAATTAAGTATGAAAGCTCACTGAGTATCAGCACTAGACATATCACGTGCGTGAGCTTATTCCGAACCACTCGCTTTATCAGTTCCACTCCTAAACGTTTCACTAGTTTCCAGACTAGTAGCAACTTATGCTTTGATCGGCTTCAGGTTGATATTCAAAGGTGGGTTGTGCCACACGATCCAGGCCCTCTGGTTCGTAAGCCAAGTCTTGGGATCCGTAGCAATCTCCAAATCAAAGTGCAGGAGCAAGTTGCAAATGAACAGTGACACGATGTAGTGCGCCATGCTAGTGAAAGGTCAGTGTTTTTCTTGACTTCTCGAGCAGGGAAAGAAAATAAACATATAGAGAGATTGAAACAAAAGATACATCTAAGAAACGACAGGACAGGGTGAAGTGGGTGTAGAACTTACTATTGACCAATGCAATTATAGGGACCGACAGAAAACGGCTTATACGCATCCTTAACATCCTTAGACGCGAAACTGTTCTCCTCCTTTGTATTGTACCATCGCTGAGGAGCGAAAGTCTCCGGATCATGAAAGTTATCCGTGGAATGAAAAGCTGCAAGAGGAGTAACATAGACACGAGTGCCACCGGCAACCCACTTCCCAGCTATAGTGACCCCGGGAGCCGGAACCAAGCGCCCAGGAGTGACAGGAACAGCCGGGAACACACGGAGGACTTCCTTAATGCAGGCATCAAGAAGGGGCATGTCGACCATGTTCTTCATAGTAATGTCGGAACTGGTGTTGAACTTTGAACGAACCTCATTTTGCAGCTCTTTGAGTATGTGTGGGGCAAGGAGAAGATGGGCGATCAGGCCGCTCAAAGCCACCGCAGATGTCCCAGATCCTGCGATATTCATGAGTGGTGCATTGGCCTGGATTTCTTGCAACGAAATGTTATCTGACTTGGCATCTGTGAGGAACTGCACGATATCTGTGCGATATGAGTTCGATGCCAGTCGTTTCTCGAGCCTCTGGTCCGTTGTGGAAAAGTAGAGTCGTCGCATTCTGAATACCTCGCGAAGGATCGGCTTGAGGATGATCCTAGCCAGAGGGAAGTCTGCTAGTGCTTGGATTACTGCGGCACTGGGTACTATAATCAGTGAGGCGCGCGCAAAGGCCCGGTGAGTGGTATCATCCAGTAAGTGAAGTGGTTCCCCGAATTGAAGGTCGTTGATCATGTCAAAGAGGGCCAGGTTCAAATACATGTTGATGTCGACAGGTTTGGATGACTGATCACTCTCAACATGTAGCTTCTTGATCAACTTGTCAATATGCTGGATTATCAGAGGCTCCTGAGCAGCCAGTGCTTGCTTCGAGAAGGCCCGGGAATACAAACGTCGCAGTCTGGCATGATCTTGGTTGTTGGCGGTGACCAAAGAATGAAAACCATATTCCCCTGCCATAGCCCTGAAGAACACCATATTGCGGGGTATGGCGAGGGGCCAAGCTGCACTACTCGAGTAGATGTCTTTCCAGGCGCTTGCGGCGGTGAAGCTGAGCTCATCCGGAGCCACTCGTACCACTGGCCCGTACTTTGCGTGCAGCTTTTCCAAGGTATTAACTGATTTGCCAATCAAAACCAAGAAGAAAATGGGAAGGCGGCTAGACGCCATGAGACGAGGGCCAGGATAGTGCTTGAGAGGGTGGAAGAATATGTTGTAGATGACGCATATGATGGAGTACTGTTGTTCTTGTTAGTGGATTAATACGCAAATCGCTGGGAGGACGAGAGTGCTCACAGGAACAAAGGCCCACGCAAACGCTTTGAGAATGAATGGAAGAGATAGTTCATCCGTGATTAAGGTCATCTTGCCCGGTAGATGCTTAGAAGTATTAAGATTACTGAGGTTGAGAGGTTGAGAGGTTCAGAGATGAGAGTATATTTGAAGAAAAGGGTACTGTGCAGTGGAAGGAGCGGGTTCACAAATATATAGATACGAGTCACCGCTTCGAATTGGAATCAAGAGGGATTGAGAAAGCAGTCACTCGCTATCATGTGGCGAAAAGCAAATCTAGCTCGGTCTACCGTATGTAGCAGGAGCAAGCAAGATTTGAAAAAAAGTGAAAACAAGGTGAAGTAAGTCCAAAAACGGCCATAATGACAAATCAAGTACTCATAGGCAAGTGGTGAGCTTGATTTCGTAACGAGCACACTGCATCCCAGAGGTGATTGATCACGACGGTCTATGATCCTTTTGTGATAATTCGGGTCGGGCATAACTTCTATAGAGAGATAGAACAAGCACTTAGACCAACTTCCCCACATTGTTTACTTGTGATATGCCTACTGAAACTTTGACATCTAAGCATATGCAATGTTTATCACTCAGAAATGCTTAGGAGACATCATGTCTGTGACATGTGCTTAGCATTGCATATGTGTATGCGTTGGCCATCCTTCGATGTACACTTCAGCACTGTTCGGACAAAGCATGCTGAGATTGGCTATATGTAGACGCCGATCACGATGATGCTTACAAAGGGAGTTCTTTGTTGTACTGGGTTTCGTAGGGCATGAGATGAGCTCGAAGTTGGGATGCCATGAAAATAAACTTCCGTTGATCTGATGTTCCGGGATCATCCCTGTGCTTCTTTAAGTTACTTACGATTCCAGGCCACACATGTGGCACATGCACGCAGATCAAACTAATAAGAACCAATGACCAGTGTGTATTATAGCATTGACCAACATCCTTTGAAGACTAACGCAACGTGAGATGTGACATGCCAGTTAGGGCATAGTGTGAACCGATCTTCCGCTGTCTCACACCGTTCACATTAGGGTGCCGAAGCCGGTGTGCTCAAGCCACGGTGCCCACATGTTCCTTCTCTTTCCGTATTTGTCCATTTCTAGAGATGTGTACAGGAAATGTATTTGTCGGTCTTATCTGTTAACATGGATAGCATTCACCAAATGGCACTCGATGTGAATCATGACTGCTGAACCAAGTAGCTGTGGTTGTCCATAAGTAATGACCCGTAGCCCATGAACCATCTCAGCATCATAACCATCATTTTCAAACAATTCCCTTCAGAAAGTCCACTTCAGTACGCCCTAACAATGGGTCAACCATTCTCTGTTAATCAGAATTCTACGGACCCTGCCACCAGTGATCCAGTCAGACTATTTTTTACCCTGGTGTCCACCTTCCTTCGAGAAGTATTCGTTGTCACTATACCCGACGTCCCAGCCGATGATTCCTTCGACGGAGAAGTTTTCCTCCACTTCAGCCGTTGTGGACTGCCCTCAGAGGTCGTCTACAAGTATTCTAAAGGAGCGGCCTTTATGGCACGATGCTTCTACCCACACCTAGATCGTGACACCCAATTGTTCATCGGAGTGTGGACGTCATACATCTTCTCGATTGATGATCTCTGTGAGGGAGCCGAATTCAGAGAGAATCTCAAGTATTACCGCGCATACCTCTTGGGAATCCACCAGCCACAGTGGGCCTACATTCGTGGCCTATTCTCAGCCTTGGAGGACCTCTGCGCCCGCTACGACCCCTTTGTTGGTGACATGATCCTCAAGTCCTCAATGGATTACATCAGTGTGAACGTCTTCGAAGTAGAGCAGAAGGGACGTCTTAAGGTTGATCGCAATACCAGCATGTTTCCCGAATTCCTGCGGCAAAAGAGCGGAATCGGAGAGGCCTATGCATTCGCCAATTTCCCCAAAGGTGGTCTCGACATCGCGTCTTACATTACCCTAATTCCTGATCTAGCAGCGATTGTGCCACAGCTCAACGATATCGTTTCCTTCTATAAGGAGTCGATTATCGGCGACGAGCAAGATACTAATTTGATGCTTGTATCTGAAGTCGAGGGCTGCTCTGCTACCGAAGCGTTGGAGATGACGATTGTCAAGTGTCTTCATAGTATTCGGAGATTACGTGCAGCCTGCTTGAGAGATGCGGACCTTCGAATTGTGGTGGACTCTTTCGTGGAGGGGTTTGCTTTGTATCATTTGAAATGGTCCCGTTATCATATGGATGACTTTGGGGATTTCCGCGAGTGGCTGTTGGAAGGTCATTGATTTTGGCGAATATGGGTAGAGCCGATGTATGAAATTGGTTCTACCATACGTGGCTGTCGTCAACTTGGCGAGATTTATATTAGATAACTGGCGGATATTATTACTGTGGGATTGGCGGGATGCTGTAGGGTTTTTGAGATTTGGATGTAGTTGGACTGTGTCGAACTTGACGATCATGTTTCTAGTGGAATGAAAGAGCTGTATCGTATTCGTCTAAGGCATTTATGACTTATGCATGAGTTTGGACTACAAAAATCACACTATCTCTAGCCTCATGTTATACTGGCTTGCACAATCCACACGGCCGATGAAGACATAAGTTCGATGGCAAATACGTGAGTAACCACACTAGCCATTGATTCCAGATCTGGATAAACTGGTGGATGACCTAACTACCACAATCTCACATAGTCTCATAGTTATGTCTTGTCGCATTGGAGCAGAGCATTGCAGCCAACTCGACAGTCTTCCAACATCAGCACAAGAAGAACGTCCAGACGTATGCGGATCTATCTTATTCTAAGACCCATTTCTCCTCTATCCCCTAGCAAGCGCATTGCAAGTTTCCGGAGACGGCATGTCTGTCTTGCCTTATGCACCCCAGTATATACTATCACCTCGACGTATTTCCGTGTCCGCAAATCCTTCGTGTCCGGCCAGCGGAGTTTGCCAAGCACCAGCTTCCCCAAGACGAGGAACAAGCCCATCGTCTTGTGCGCGCGGTGAAAGAAGTCATTCTGTTTTCCGCTTCAGAGAAAGAGCAATATACTCAACCTTTGGATGCTTTCGTTGAAAAGGTTGTCTCGAGCAAGGGAACCAATGTATAGATAGCCACAAAGATACAGGCCTATCATCGAGAAACACGGTTTATGACACACTATTAACCTGCACCACCAGATCATCAGCCAAAGAGACATAGGTGACAACTTGTACATTGTCGAAAAGGGCCCATTCGCTTACTGGATCGCTCCGCCTCAATGTAGCAAACCACTTCCTTCGGCATGTGCATAAACTACAGCTCTGCCCACCTGGGCGACTTCTTCGGCGAGCTCGCCCTGCTATGCAACGCTCTACGTGCCGCAACATAATCTCAAGCGAGCAGGAATGCCTCCTCTAGGCCCTCGACAGGGTATGCAATGCTATCAGATGTTATGTGATCTGCTTGCTGTTGATAAGGTACTAATAGATTAGACCAAAGTACCTTCATTTCTACCCTGTAGTGGGCTCGTTCCGTCGCGCCATGATCATCTTTCGAGAAGTACACACAAGGAAGAAAGCGAGAAAATGAAAAAAAAAAAAAAAAAAAAAAAAAAAAACCGGAGAAGTTGCACCTATCTTAGACCTCCTTCATTGTTTGGGCTCTGCTCCATACATTCTTCTACATAAGATCCCTCGGCGGGCCTGGAATGCTCCGGGAGTGGATCATAGCCCGGGTAACCATGTGGCCCGAACCGCACCCCAGACGATCGACGGAAATTAGTCTGGTTGGTCAGGGTGGTTCCCATAGACAATACATAGTACGGAGCACATATTTAGAATAAAGTTCGAAGCGAGTAAGTGGCCAGCTACAAGGTCTTTAAGCTGAACTGTATAGAGGTCCTTCCTTGAGACACTAGATGCGCTGGGCAATCTCGCCTTGATTTGAGATGTTTTACTTCTCTTGTGGTTACATTACCGCACCATATCACATTATTTGCAACGGTATCCACTCAAGGAAAGGCAATCTCAACGTGCAATTTAACCGATAATGTATTGGCTGTTTCGCTGTCCATTATGTACGCTATAAAGGAGTGTAACGCTTGTATCACGAATACATTCCCTTGCCGTATTTTAATTGTCACTTCATCTATCGTTGAATGTATATCTTCTCGATTTAGTCACTAATTCATTGTGAATACCTCTCTTTCAAAAATACCGCCAAATCCCTGCCATTTCATCGGCCCGCTCCGAAATATCATTACCTGATAGTTGGACTTCGAAGTTGGAATCTTCCGATTTATGATTCATTCATCCGCCTATATATTTCTCTCTCTGTCTCTCTCTTCGTCTTTCTCTCTCTCCCCAATTCTTTTTCTTTGATCCGTTGACGTCCTGGGCGGCTGTAGGGCATGACCATACGATGTCTGATCTTCTGAGAACGGCGGGAAAAGGAAAAAGAACAAAGAAAAAGAAAAAAAAGAACGGATGGTTTATTTGCATTCAGGCGTAATACATGTGTATTAAGTACCTGAATCTGTAATTATAAGTCCTGCAACTAACAGTTATTAAGTTCTTTGCTCATGGCACGCCGCCCTCTATCTATGTGAAACCAGGCCTATCGTGACCTGAACATCCACATAGACCTTCATGCATCCTGGCCAAACTTGAGTGAGACTTTGAAGCATGTCGTGTCTTAATGCCACATTCTCTCTCATTATACATACTCCTTCTTATATTCAAACCCCGAGAAGACGCATGACCTCTGCAGTATATATGTCTGATTGGCTAGTTTATTCCTCTCCTTATCTTCTTATATATAGAATGTCACTTTGCCCGCCCCTCTCGATCAGTCACCCATTGTCACAAGCGGGAATTTTGCGAGGTTTTCACACGCGAGCTACTTGTTTGTGATATATTCAACAAGCAATCTATCATGGTCTTTGCTGGATTATCCATGGGCGAAACAAAGGGCCTTGTACTGTTACTCTCAGCACTTCAATGTCGTATATAGACGTCCACGATGAGGATAAGATCCGTGATACACTCTATGCTGAGGTCAAGCAAGTACTGCAAAGGCTTACAGGAGCGTCGATCGTTCATATCTGGTCGCATGTGGTAACTTAGCGTCATACCCGACCCAAGAACGACAATCATATGTCTGACATCTGACATCTCCAAGGTCCGTGGAAAATATGCAGATGGTATCAAGCCGAATGAAAAAGCTCACATCGGTAAGAACACTTAACCAGAGCGCCAAGACCTTACTTTTGACCTTCGCTTCCCAGACACGGCAGAGAGCTGGCGTCAAGATTTGTTTCGACAGTACTGTACAAAGCCCGATTCAAACATTGCGCCGTCGGCGAAATATGAGTTCTATAAGTATATAATCCATCTACATGACGTTCGTGGTACACCCGGCTGACTGACATATCTCATCCGTAGCCTTTGGTTGCCGTTACTTCCGGTGAAGAATTATCCTTTAGCCTTTTGCGAACCGAGTTCCGTGGATCCGGATGATATACTTCCTGTGATATATCACGGTAATGACGTTCCCGGCCAGAACTGCTTATTGCAACACAGCAAGTCCCAAAAGTGGTGTTATAAAAGCAACCAACAGCCGTCTGAGGCTTGGATCTTCTATCAAGGGGGTAACAGAATTCGATGACAAACCAGGTATACCAGCGTCATTTGTCTCACATGATTCAATAGCTGTCGCTAATCTAGTAATGGTTTTCGACAAAGGTGTCCCACATGCCTCGTTCCGCTTAGATGGAAGTGGTGCTCCACGACAGAGTATTGAATTCAAAGCCATGGTCTTTTTTTGAAAGTTTCGATGCTACTTTTTGGGCGACTATTAAGGTGATGGGAATTTGGCACTTTGGAGGATTTTGAATATTATGCTTCTTAAAAGAATGATTTATATTGATGAAATAAACGAAGGACTTATGAGGGATTGCGAGAAGGGGCAGTCCTTACTCCAAGTAGGTAGAGAAAACCGGACCACGACTGATCTCAATGACCATTTCGCTGGTAGTCGACACTCGTAGCACTGGAAGATATCCCCAAGAAAGAGATGAAAGAAGGTCTCAAAGCTTGGATGGCACCAAAGGATCGGTTCTAATCTGGTCGCTAGCAAGGCTGTTTTCGACTTCGTTTGGAGCGACCGCTGTAATATTTCGATCATCATCATGTTCCTTACTCTTCTTCGTACGGAACTTTTGCTCATAGTAGCGCAGCGCTTCCTCCCTAGTCATTGGCTCGGCCTTAAGATCGTAATACCAATCGTCATTGGGTATAATTCCCTCATATTCCAGTGGCACGAACCTGGAGTTTCTGTCATATGGCAAGTCTTTTTGCTCCCAGAATACTCGTTCCTGGCGCCGCAGCTCTTCAGCTTCCGACTCGCTCAGTTCCAGTGGTGTATACGGTGGCCAATAAGATGGATCTGTAGCGTAAGCCTGCCAGTCTGTAAGTCGGAACTCTTGTTCCATTTTCCAGACATGACGGGGCAATAAACTCCCTTGATTGAGTTCGAAATAACTGTCTAACTGGGCTCGGCGCTCGCGCCGCATTCTGTCAGCTTTGGTCTCGCTTGGACAAAGCTGGGTATTCGGCTCATTTCCTGATGGCTGAGGCATCTGGTCGTAGGGCTTGGTTTCTTCCTTTGCTGGGGTTGTCGATTCGTCCGCCGCTTCATTTTTACTTGTCTGCTCTGCTTTCAGATCGGCCAACCATTCCTCGTCTGGTATCCCGCAAAAATCTTCACATTTCATGTTCTCCTCATATGACCTACACCACTCTCGTTCCTGGCGCTGTAGCTCTTCAGCTTCGGCTTCGCTCAATTCCAGTTCTGTGCCTACTGGTGGCTGATAAGATGGATCTGTAGCGCAAGCCTGCCAGTCTGTACGTCGGAAGTCTTGCTCCATTTGCCAGATATGGCGCGGCATTAGATCCTTGTGATCCCGTTTGATATAATCGTCCAACTCGGCCCGTCGCTCGCGCCGCAGTCTGTCGGCTTTGGTTTCGCTTGGGTCTGGTTCGGGGGAATTCGACTCGTCTTCCGATGACTGGGACAGCTCGTCGTCGGCGGGCTTAGTTTCGTCCTTTGCTGGGGTTGTCGATTCATCCGCTTCTCCATCTGCTCGTTTGTCCGTCTTGCTGTCATCGTTCGGGCTTGGAGACGGGTCGTTGTTGAGCCCAGTTGCCTCCTTTGCTTGGATTCTCGGTTCATCCGCTTTTTCGTTCGTCTTGTTGTCGTCGTCGGGGCTCGAAGACGAGTCGGTGGGGGGACCGTCGAGAGGAGGAGAGGAATCTGGCTGATGAGGCTGTTTCTCAGCTTCAGTGGGATCGTTTGCGGTAGCGTGCAAATTGTCCTTCATTAGCTGGCATAGCTTCTCTTCAACTTCCCTTGGGTCTTTGGTCGATGACTGATGCTGATGCTCATCGTTCTTGATGGAAGCCATTGCTGTAAGCAGGGGCCTGGATGGCAGTGCGTTGTAGTTGCTGGAAGGGAGGAGGTTGTTTTTGGTGAGATGAGAGGCAGATCTGTGGATGATCTTTTGCAGGGAGCTGAGATACTGAAAGAAGAACCAGGTGACTTTGAGAAACCGATTGATTCTGCATCTATTTCCAACTCATTGTCTGGATAATGAGGGGGTATTTATATCTGATGAATAGCTTCATCTGCCCCTGATCAAGGGGACTGTAACCGACCGCGTGAAGGCATCTTCCTTGTTGTCGGCCATATAGACGATATCACAAGCAAATTGTATCGAGGAATAGCAGAGATCATCTCTTCAACGGTGCTACTATGGGAGAATACCAAGATAGAAGTCGTGATGGTTGTCAAAATGAGGGTATTGGTGTGGGTTGACCAGGGAAGAGCCCTCCAAAATGCCTCGGTCGGGATTGGAACAACAGCAGCAGCAACAGCAGCAGTGGCACAGGCACAGGCAGCAAAGTAATAAGGATACGGTATGTACAGCAGCGTTACCTGGAGCAAACGGGAATTACAACTTGGTCTAGATCCAAATCTTATACCACTCCCAGTCTCAGGTGAAGAGCGGTATACTCCGTGCGACTGTAATCGTTTGCTCCCAACAAGTCGTGTTTGGAACGGAGCCCCAAGCTATTGCAGAGTTACTTAGACTCATGCGCTCTATCTACCTCAGAAATGCAACTTTACGGTGACTTCCATGACACCATCACTGCAAGGGTTCTTCCTTCATTCTATGATTACATGGAGATAACCATGGATGCTCTAGACTGTCTGACCCTAGGTCATCTTCATCGAAGACTTCTCTTGACGGATACCTCCAACACAAAAGCCATCGAATGACTCATACAATGATACATCTTGTTAACTATGTTGTACCTGGAACAAACAAAGCACGGGGCATGATCATCATGTGATTGTCAGACTGGTCTTGCGAGTGATTTGGTATTCTTCATGTTCATTTGGCCCTTTACTAGTGCCTACAAGCAGCAATTCACGTTTGGCATGGCTTCCAATCGTCGCAGTTACAATCAATCTATTGCTGCTCGCCTCCTGATACTACTCCTGGTCGCTTCGCTTCTTCCTTCGACGCCTCGCGCTGTATTTGCCAGGCTTCTTTTCGGTTTCCCTCTTATCCCCTGTTACTACTACATTCGAATGAAGTCTCCGGGTCTGAACAATGCTTACAGCCAAATGGGAGACATGTGACGCCCAAGGCCAGTTTATCTCTGTGGACAGGCTTCAGGTAACATATCTTCGATGCGAGGTGCAGACGTCAAACGTTGATGATTTGGCAAGGAGATGGGTCCCAGAGCTCAGCGCCAAACCGGCCACTCATACTCGTAACCTTCCTAAATTTCAGTTACCACATCGACAAGACTGGGGAAATCGCTTGAATATACGAGAATGGTACTTCGTTGATCACGATCAACGCTAATCCACACATCATAGTGCTGGAATCCCCAACAGAATAAAGCAACCGACACTTCCAATCTCGAGATCTTCCAACAATATGAAGCACTTCGAATGCGGGGAGACTTCGACAGCAACGGCAGCACCGTGCATAGCGACAGCGTCATTCTAGGATCCAAGAACCCAGGCAGCGTCATAATCGGGAGCACGTCCACTCAAAGCTCCTGGTCTGGTCGCAAAAAAACAAGTGCGGAGACCTTTATGGAAGTATACCATCCTACACTTGGGTATTTGGGAGCACTGGTGAATACATTCTCCAATACTGAGGTAGGGGGAATCCCTGCAAAGGTCATTGTTCGCACCGGTTCCATAACGGGTATCTATGCAGGGTTAGTGGACATCAAGAGAGGCATCGAAAGTGCTTAACAAGTGCAGACAGAGGGGATATTCATACATCTGTCACAGTGCAGCTCCCATCTTCTACTCTCATAGCTAAAGACGTTTTCATCATTTCGAGGACCTGATGAAGGTGGATGTTTGTCAGCATACCAAGGTAACTTCGTGTCTTCAAACATTTCATATGAGGGTGAACACTCACAAACAGCATCATTTAGTCCAGTTCCTGAACCGCCGTCGTTACCACCCTTTTCACCTCCCTCTTCCCCTCCTCCGTTATCGCCTCCATCTCCTTCCTCGCCACCACTAGAGGCCTGGCAAGCTTCCAAGTCCTTTTTCAGCTGCTCCATCTCCCTCTGTAAACCACTGACCTTATCCTCCAACTCCCCTACCAACTCAAGCTCCTCCTTACAATCAACCGGGTCCAAAGGCGAAACCTTCCGATACGACATCCACAACACACGATCCATATCTTCAAGCACCGGCTCAGTGGCACCCGAATACAGGAAACACGGAGCCCTGCGGTTCGCCGGTTGCGCACTGTATAGACTTCCTTTGCAGGTAGAGCTGGCTACACAGGCGCGACTACAGGCTTCAGGATCCATCGCTGCAGGGTAGCCCTCCAGAAGATCCCAGTCCTCGGGGGCCTTTCCACAGTGATATGTGACAAATAGTCCCTCCTCCAGTTGGACCTCCTGCCCATTTCTGGAGGGACAAAATCTGTCGAGATGTTCTCGGACAGTTTAGGCTGAGATTAGACTGGTGAGGAGGGCGAGGAGGTATGTGGTGATGATAGAGGTCTTTGGAGACATTGTGGGGGCAATCCTGCACTGACTGTGAATTAAAGGAGGGTGAGAAGGAACCAAGCAAAGTTTCAGTCAATCATTACTTCAAAATATGGGCTTTGCTCCGTGTCTGAGAATTGGGTTCTTTACTCGTTTACTATATACTACAGGAGTGGTTTGTCTGATCCATCATAATGATGAAAAGGATGGTCTGCGCCATGGTCATGTCCCTCCTGCTGATAGTCTGACAAGCAATCAATTAGCTTCTAGGGTCCCAGCCACAGCCAGCGCAATTAAACCCCAGCTCATTGTGACAGACAGCCTCAAACGCAGTTTGTGGGGTCTGAGTCTGAGTCCAGACTCTTTTCCCCGCTTTCATCGATCGAGGAAATGAACCCTATCTGGAATATCATCGGCGAGGGTAGTATCATCAAGGTGTTACTATAATCCCCCCACCCCCTTTTAATCTGAGGGGAATCACGCACGTGTGTGTATATGTAGATTTTAGTACGAGGGAGGTCGCACAATCCATCAGAGAGAAGTATATCTAGTCCGACTCTCAGCTCTTACGACGATAATGTCTTGCTAAAACTGCAGTACCGTTCACATCGCACACAAGATATCTACTAGATTAATTAGTATACAGATATCCTCAAGTCATCTCTTAATCAGAAGAGGTCAGGCACATACGCATAATCAACATCCAACACTGTCAGCTTGTGTAGCAGTAATGAAGTTTAGGGGATAAAGAATCTAGAAAGAAAACCGACATAGACACTACTATCTTTTCTCTCGCGCGATGCGTCCCGTGATGCTTCCTTATCTCTTTTCGTCCATAGAACCCTCCTTTTTTTTTTTTTTGGGACCACTTGATGGTTGAAAACGTACACCACTAACTTATACTGAAATGATATATTATCGATGGAGAAGCCTTAAGGATAAGTGTACGGAGGCGTCCGGTCGATAGTACTCTTTAAAATCGCCTTTATGTATCATCCCAGATTCTAAGTCGTGGGATACATGTGGAGGTGAATGTTCATTCTATGTCAGCACAAGGTCTAAGAAGTCGTGGAATAGTAGCAAAGTGCCCTATCTGTCGAGTCAACTACAGGTTGTATCTGATTCCATCCACTGTCGGATAGGTTTTCAATTATTGAATGCGGATGCACATCCTATGGCTTTTTCTCTCCAGTGATTGCTGGTGGCCGTACGTGTGGGTCATTTTTCTTTTCCCTTCTTTTCTTTTTTCGGTAGCACGACTTTCATTTTAGGCTTTTACTATTGGTTAGTCTGCCAAGTGACTTGGGAGCTAGTAGTCAATAGTCCCTTACTTGATGGTGAAGCAAGCATTATGGAATCCAACACAGACTCCTGTTATAACGAGTCAAATATTTCAATTCGCACCTAGTAGTTTCGACTCCAACTTTCCATGCCCCTGCCTCGCTGTAAGCAAAGGTCCTGTCCATTCATGTTAGTCTCAGATCTAAACAGACCCGCTTTCTCGGCCTTTTATTTCTGCGCTTACGTCTGAACCATGGAGTTCCTCTACTCTGACCCAGTTGACCCGCAGATTGTAGCACAATCATGCTCGACACGACTTGCTGTGCGAAAGGGTAGAAACTCTCATATTGCCGATACCGCAATTGGGGAGTTCAGGGAAGAATGGGGTAGCGCCGACAGACAAGGATTCTGTAGTTCGGCATGTCCTTGCGGGCCTTTCATTGCTCTTGCTGTACCAGAAGCCAAACCGGAGCGAATCGCTATTGTGACCAAAACCCTTGAGTTTATTTTCACACTTGATGGTTAGTTCGACTCTTGTCTGGGCTTGAGAGAATTGATATTGACTGAATTGATAGACCCCATTGTTGACTCAACCGAGTTTGAAAAGGTAAAAACGACTAACGAATATCGTCATATTTAGCTAAAACATTTAGCTAAAACCCAACCCTACAGGTGGCTTCAACACGAAACTGGGACACACGAGGCTTGGTATCCGAGCGCCAGTTGCAATATTCAGTCAAAGCTCGACACGATTGGGGAACACGCAAAACGCAACTTTGTACGAAAATTCTGGTCGACCTCCTCGCGATCGATCCAGTTCGAGGGCAAGTGGTCATTGAGGCACTGGAGCAATATCGCTCGTCGCTTGGGGGGAAGCGGGCCGTTGAAATTCACGACTGGGATAAATGGCTCGCCTATCGCTGGGAGAATGCTGGCTGTGCGTATGTTCAACCATCTCACTTCATTACTACAGATGGACGATGATGACGATCCTCATTAGCATGTTCCTTGGGTTAATTTTTTATGCATGCGAACTCGACCTGACTCGGCGTGATCTGGATACCGTCCATCATATCGCTTGGAAAGCAATGGCGATGACAGTTCTTAGCAATGATCTGTACAGCTTCGAAATGGAAGCTATTCTTGGCATCCAAGCTGGCGGAAGAATAAGCAATGGTGTTTGGCACCTAATGAAGCATCGGAACATCACGGCCAAAGAGGCGAAGCACATTTTGCTCATAGAGAAGCTTAGGCCACTCGAAGAACAGTTCCTTGAGGAAAAAGCTAGCTTTTCCAGAGCTCATGGGAGAGACTTGCCGCAAATTGTGCACTATCTTGATCTGCTTGAGCTTGCGGCCTCCGGAAACTGGTACTGGGGCTCTCAATGCTATCGCTACCACTCCTGGAAAGAGAACATCACGCAGTTTGGAGATCGGCCTATTTCATCTTACAACATCCAGAAATTTGATGAGGCAACTTCAAAATGCGAAGAATACCTGAAAGCCGCTGCAAATAATGACCAGCCGTCGAAACTTGATGACAGACAGACTGGGACTTTACTGAAGGATCAGACAATGGTTAAAGACAATGGCGACGAGGTCCCTCGAGAAATCCAGAGGCAGTGCTTGGATGAAAAGGTTACTACTAGAGTACCGTGCCTTCTCTCGGGGAAATCGGCAAGCTGACCACATGACCTAGCTCGTTTTTGCTCCAATTAACTATCTGGAATCTGTCCCATCTAAAAACATCAGAGGGACTCTGATCGAAGGATTGAGCTCATGGTTCGCCGTTTCCCGGGATGCTCTTGATCTTATTAAAAGAGTCGTATCCAATATTCACAGTGCGTCCTTGCTGATTGACGACATCGAAGACGGCTCACCTCTTCGGCGAGGGCAACCGGCAGCCTATCGCGTGTTCGGACGGGCACAGACAATTAATTCCGCCAATTTCCTCTGGGTCCTTATATCAGAAGATACTTTTCATTTGAGCAAGGACTCCCAGAGAGTCATCGCCGGTTTGTGAATTGGCCTTTTGAAATGAGGCAGGTGCTAAGTATATATCAAGATGATCTGAAGGCCCTTACCATAGGTCAGAGTTACGATATTTACTGGACCCATACAGCTTCTTGTCCATCACTCGCGGAGTACCTGGAAGTATGCAAGTCAAGTAAGTGTCAACCTAGATAAACCTGGTGACAACACTAACAGATAGCAGAGACAGGGGGCTTATTCTCAATGATCGGAAGACTGCTTTACTCAGAGGGCAAACAAACAGGGCGTGTATTCATTTACCCTGCTTAAATTAAATTGCTAACATCCCTCACCAGGGCTATCGACGTGGATGACCTCAGAAACTTCCTACATCTCCTTGGGCAATTCTTCCAAATTCGCGATGATTATATCAATCTCACTTCCGCCAAGGTTCGAGCTTTGTTATGGCTGTGATCTTCAACGCAATTCTGACAACCGCTAGTACGAGAAAGAAAAGGGCTTTGCGGAAGATTTAGACGAAGGGAAATTCTCCTTGCCCATGATTCATCTTCTGAATAGCTCCAAAGATCGGCTGATGATTGAGTGCATCTTACAACAGCGATCACGCGATGGCAGCATGTCCCCAGAAATGAAAATGCTGGTTCTGGAGAAAATGGACGAGGCAGGCAGCCTGGAGTTTACCAGGGCAACCCTTCGTTCCGTTGAAACAAAAGCAAGAGAGGCACTTGCCTTGCTTGAGCAGCAAGCAAAAACACCCAATTATATACTACAATACCTGCTCATGCGCCTTTCCAACGTCAGAAAGTGAAAGTGGTTCATCTACATGTCAGTCGACGCGTTTCTAATCACGGTTAGCCATCAAGGATATAACTGAAGAGGTCCTCGCACTGTTACCGAAGTATGAGAGATGGTGATGTCCTACCTGGTCAGGCTAAGGGAAAATCGCGGAAGCTTCACATGACGACATAATCAATTCCATGTATTCAAAGGTCAATTTTTTTATTATAATTCTTAGAAGTGGTAGAAACCATTTATAAATCTAGTATTCTCTAAAATTTTAGAAACTCTTGCTATTTTCTGTAGTTTAAAGACTAAGAAAAAAGAATAAATATATACAAGAACTATTATTTATATTTATAATATATAATATTATTAAATCTATATAAAATTCTTAAATCTATATAATATATCTGATACATACAGTCTCTGTTTTTAATATATTTTAGTATACTAAGATATACAGATTAACTCAAAAGATTTGAGGTATAGAGCAGGATATACAGCTACCTGCAGTATTCCTACTACTACTATCACTCATAACTCCTACCACCACTGCCATCACCATCTATCACAGAGTGCATGAAGTAGTAGTAATGCACACTCTGAAAGAAATGATAGTATGTAACTACGAGTTCGTTAAGTTCACTATCTTGGTAAAAATACAAGTAAAAATAGAAAAAGGATATCAAACATTGCTGGTAGAAATAACTAGCAGGATGCATATGTGTATATGATCACTGTACCCATGACGGTATTATATTGTGGTAGTTCACGAGGCGTGTTTGATCATATGTAGTTAATCATCATAGTGTCTGTATTCAAAAAGAATGAATTGGAGGTGGAGAGAGGCAGAGAGAGAGGGGGGGGTGGGGGGGAGAGAGATATAGAGAGAAAGTTAAATGTGACTTCAAAGTGATAGCTAGTAGATAGTAGTAGACTGACTAGGAGTGTAGTGCGTATGTTATTCTACTATCTTACCCAGTTGTTCTAGGCTATTGTGTCGTTGATATGAATCCATGCTGTCTTCTATTTATTTCCTACCTTTACTCATCTCTGTAAATAGAAGCATCCGAATCAATTCATTGACCATCACATAATCAATCATTACCCATGCAGATATCAATACTTCTCAACATCCTCTCTACAGCCCAATCCAGTACCTCGTCCTCTCAACTCCAAACTCCCCCTTCAACTCTCCCTCCCCAGTTCCTGTGACCAACACCTCGTACACTCCCTTCTCCGACGCCCATTTCCCGCGCAGCTCGTCCCACCAGCTCGTCGCCAATTTCTTCTCTACGACAATCTCAACCTGTTTCTCCTCCCCAGGCTGGAGGAACACCTTCGTGAACCCCTTCAGTTCGCGGACGGGACGGTTCACCTCCGTCTTTGGGGGAAGGACCCACAGCTGGACGATCTCTGCGCCGGCGACTGTGCCTGTGTTCTTTACTTTGACTGTGGCGGTGATGGGTTCGCCGTCGGTGAGGGTGCTCTTCTCCGGGGAGGTAGTGATCTCCAGATCGCTACGGGAGAAAGTGGTGTAGGATAGGCCGTGGCCGAAGGGGAAGAGGGGTTTCACGTTCGTCTTTTCATAGTACCTGTATCCGACGTAGATGTCTTCACCGTAGAGAACGCGGCCCCGCTCGGACCGGAAGTTAAGATAACTAGGGTTATCCTGTAAGCGGACGGGAAAAGTTACGGGGAGCTTGGCGGACGGGTTAACGTCTCCGAAGAGGACGTCCGCGATGCCATTTCCGCATTCGTTTCCGCCGAACCAGGCGTGGACGAGGGCTTTGGCTTTGTGGACCCATGGCATGGTGACAGGGGTACCAGACTGGAGACACACGACTGTGTTGTCTGGGTTGGCGTCGAGGACGCGAGAGATCAATTCATCGGTTCCAGGAGGAAGGTCCATGTGTTCGCGGTCGTTGCCTTCGGTTTCCCATTCGCTAGTGAGACCGGCAAAGATGATGACTTGAGAGGCTTGGCTGGCTTGGGAGACGGCGTTTGAGATCAATTCTTCTTGGCTAACCTGGCGGGCGGCGCCGAAGCGGAATCCGCCGGGTCCGAAGATGACAATGCCCCGGGTGTCGAGGTCGGAGGTGGGGGCGCTGCCGAATTCGAGGACTACTTTGTAGGTTTGGCCTGCGTTGAGGTGCTTGGAGCCGCGCTCTTCGACGGTGGCGTTGCCGAAAAAGGCAGTGCCTTGGCGTTGGTTCTTGGTGTTGTCGACGACGGTTTCGTTGTCGATTAGAAGACGGCCGGTGCCGACTACAGTGACGCCGAAGTCGTAGACGCCGGATTCTGTGGGGGTGAAGTAGCCCTCCATGTCGACGTAGAAAGTGAGGGAGTGGATCTTGGGGTTGACGTAGTCCATGAGGAAGCCGCTGGAGCGGAGGAGATGGAGCTCGTCGACGAGGGTGCGGTTCTCGTGGGAAGGAGGCTCGTTGTAGACACGGAAAGTGAATCCTGGTTTACCGTCCTGGGTTTTAAGCAGGGGACCGAGGAGAGGAAGTTCTTTGTGGGAGTAGACGCCTTGCGAGAATTGAACTTCGGAGGTGGCTTTGGCGGCGACGCCATCAAAGGGCGAGACGGTGTAGTAGGGGTCTAGTGAGGCAGAGCCGCCGCCACAGTAGGCGGCGACTTGGGCATTGGGTCCGATGACCAGGACCGGTTTGTCTTTGCGGAGGGGAAGAATGTTGTCTTCATTTTTCATAAGCACGACGGCTTCAGCAGCGGCGCGGCGGAGAAGTTCCCGGTCTTGGGGGCGGTTGAGGGCTTTTTCTGGGGCGTGCTCGGGGATTCCCAGAGGCTCGACCCAGTTGATGAGGTTAAGAATATTCCGGACACGGTCGTCCAGAACGAATTCTGGCACCTTGTTGGACGACACAGCATGCGCCAGGGCAGAGCCACGCCAGCGTGTCTTGCCGGGCATTTCGAGGTCCAGACCAGCAGCAATAGCATCGGAGGTGCTGTAGGTTCCGAACCTGGGGCACTGTCAATATTCATGCTAGGCAGCTATTTATAGAGATATTTCTTACCAATCACTCATAACCAGACCATCCCAATTCCACTCCTTACGGAGTATATCAGTAATAAGCTCCTTATTCTCACTGACATGCGTGCCATTGACCTTATTATAGGCCGTCATAACACACGCAGTAGGACATATCCTCATAGCCAACTGAAACGGCAACAGGTATATCTCGCGCAGGGCACGCATAGTGACGATGCTGCTGACCGCCAGACGCTCATGCTCCTGATCATTGCAGACAAAGTGCTTTAGCGTGGCAGCAACGCCCTTCTCTTGCAACCCCTTGCAGTAATTCCCAGCCAAAATTCCGGAAAGTACGCCATCCTCGGCGAAAGACTCGAAGCCTCGACCGCCGAGCGGGGAGCGCTGAATGTTGATGGTGGGACCTAACACGATATGCGAGCCCTTAGCGATGGACTCGTCACCCATGAGCTGGCCCACCTCGTGCAGCAAATGGGCGTCCCAGGTTGCTCCGAGGGCGGTGGCACAGGGGAAACAGGCGGCTGGGATTCCGTTGAAGAAGCGGGTGCCTCGCACGCCATTGGGACCATCGGACATGCGCAGAGCGGGGATGTTTAGTCGGGAAACTGAGGCAGTGTGCCAGAAGTCCACGCCTGTTGTAATGATTAGTGGTCTTTTCTGTTTTTAGTTCGGTTATAGGTCGTTACTTGCCAGCCGTGAGAGCTACCTTTTCGCCCAGCGTAAGCTCTTCAATGGTCTTTTCCACGTCCAGACGTGCCATGGTGACGGAGACGGGAGGGTGAATTTATTGTAATTCGAGAATGAGATGGACTGGCATTCGAGTTAACTGCAGGTTGTGCAGCAGAGTTTAGTTTAAGAGCCGGAGAATCGTCGGTAATTGAACGGGAAGGGAGGGATTGAAGTATAAATTTATCACAGATCAGACTGGCTCGAGTCGAGGACTACTACTGAAACAAGTGGTTGGAGCGGGGCAGACGGAGGAGTTCATATATCCGGAACTCAACGGTGCCTGGCACCCCGCCTGAATCATCCATGCATCCGATGGCTGCAGAGTGGGATGGAATGCATCTTGGATCAACATCATGAATGGCGGATCGACGGGAGGAATGGCCGAAGGAGCAGCCACGAAATGCCCCGAAGATTACCCGCTTGGTTTGGTCGGAGTGTCGGCCCGCCTGCCCTGTCGCCAGTTGGCCTTTCGTCTTACAGATGGACCGGGTATCCTGGCAGCCACCATCTTGCTTGCAGATGCAGATGCAGGGTCTGAAAGTGAACCACGTCGGACATTGTCCTACCCAGAAAAGCAAATCATCCCACTTACACCCCTTGTCTCTCGACTACTCATGCAGCCAGACTACGGACCGGAACTTAACTCTCGTAACGTGCAGCCAGCTGACTGCGAGTAGGTAGTAGCTGCTATGCGTCCGGGTATCCAATCAAGAACACAAATGGGGAATGGAGGAAAAATTGTATGATACAGGCCATGCGTGCACATAGATCAGAAAGTCCCAGGTAAACAGACGGAACGCAAAACACCGTCCAACAATGCTAGTAATAGAGTCGTGTAATAGGTCAAAAGGAAATGGTAGATTCAATGAGAGACAAAAAAAGAGCAACATGCAATCACGCATCATTCCGCCGGTATCAAACCCCTTGTATCTTCCGTCATCCTTCATGCGCCACGTCGGGGCCGTTTGGATTCATTTCCCATCCGCATTCCTCCACGCCCACCACCATCGCCATGTCCTCCTTCATCCCCAGGTCGGTTACGCTTGCGGTGAGGCCCACTAGGCGCCCCCTCGCGATGGTAGTCCCGTTCACGCGGACGATCCCGGTTACGCTCACGATCACGATCCCGCAGCTCGCGCCCACCTACCCATCGTCGGTCATCCTCAGCACCAGCAAGCGGGGGCGGCGGAGGTGGTGGGGGACCCTGTCCGCCAAGAGAAGACGGAGGTCGAAGACGGCCTTCATGCTCCTGATTACTTGGGGCAATGTCCGAGCCCTCCTCCCGGTCACGCCGCCGCCGGTTGTCTTCACGTGCGCCAGGCCCACGTCGAGATGCCTCGCGAGACTCATACCGTTCTTCCCGAGGCCCTCCCGGTGCACCACCCGCGTCGCTTCGGCGACTCCGTTCACGCTCGTAATCCCGGTTTCGGTCTCGGTGCTCTTCCCGTCGACTGCTACTGCGTGATCCCTCCTCTTCGCCGCCACGCCGTTCCCGATCGCGGTCCCGTTCCCGTTCACGATCATGTGGGTGTGTGCCCGAAGAGAACCGTTGGCTTCGTCGGCTCTCCGCGCTGGACTCCTCCGCAGGCTCTCCTCGACTGCCTCCTGGTCGGCTGCGTGAAGGGCCATCCTCTTCACCGTAGGGAGCGCCAGAAGACCGACCCGCCAGAAGATCGGGGCGACCTTGAGATGCTGAGCCACCGCGGCCACCATCCTCCTGCGCACCGGGAGTTGGAGGCCGGGCCGCTTGCGGTGATGGTGCATTCATGGCACCAGACTGTCGGTTGGCACCCCGTCCTCGAATCGTCGGACCAGGGCCACGGTCCGGCGTCCCACCGGATTGCTGGAGCATATTGTTGATGCCAGCAAATCGCTTGTCTCCCCGGCCACGTTCACCACCAAACCCGGGACCTGAAGGCGGGCCACGTGGCATGGTTGCAGGTCCAGAGGGTGGTCCTAGTCCACTGCGTGGACCAGATGGGGGAACAATCGATGCAGGAGATGACGCATGATGCGAGCGTTGACCGCCCCCGTATGAGTTATCTTGGGGCTGCTGCTGCAAGACCTTCAACCTATCAGGGTGGATTCCGCTAGTGTCGAGTTTCTCGGGGCCTGGTGACGGGGGCCCTGTTGTGGTAGACTGATCTGGTGCGTTTCGTAAGCCTTGCCGGCCCGGGCCAATAGGAGGCTGGCGTTCAGTCGGAGCCATTGCACCGGACGCAGGTGGTCCTTGAGAATGCTGTAACCCGGCGGCATTGCGGCCACCACGCCCAGCATTGTTTCTTCCTCTCGGGCCTGACGGAACGTCCGTAGGCGGCTCTGGTTGACGCAGTCGGCCATGATTCATGTCAATGCCGGTCACTGTATCTCGACTGTCAGCGCCATCCATGGAAGGACGCCCATATCGCTCACTTCGTGGCCCTGTGGGCATATCCTCGTTTCGTGCATGAGACTGAGCAAAATTGGCAGCACGGCGATCATCGGCTGGGAACCGTTCCGGACGGCCCAATGGTTCCATTCTTGGAGGAGACAATGCTCGTGGTTGCAAATTTCGTCGGTCGTCTCTATCTTGTCGTCCGCTTTCACCCCTCCGAAAACCTTCTGAGTGGTCGTCTATCATACCAGCGCGATCGGGGTGCGTGGGAGGAACAGATCGTACATTTGCTGGTCCCTCCCGAACATCTGGCCGTAGACGGCCGGGCCGATCCGGCCAGTCCGCATCACGCGGCGGACGTCCATCCCGGTGAGGAAAGCTGCGGAATGGTTCGTCCATAGGTTGCCTTGGGTACTCCCTGTCAATTCGGGGGTAGGGTCTCACATCACCCATGGCCGGATCGAATGGCCGAGGATAGTCATGGTCCCCGCCAAAGCGACCACCACGTGGATAGTCTTGATGTCTGTCACGGCGGTCCTCTAAGAGATCAGGCCGAGGGGGTAACTTGTCTTCACGGTTGAATCGGTGTGGTCCCTGCGCTTGTGCTCGGGTGTTCTGCGCACTGGATGGTGCCCGTTCCGGTTCAGGGCGCTTCGGTACGTTTGCCGGTCTACCTGAGTCTGAGATTCTCGACGTAGCTTGCGACGCAGCGGGTGATGCTGGCGCCTGGGGCCGAGCAGGCAAGTCCGCCTCTGGATGAGCCCCGCGAGCTGAAGTCACATCCTTCTCGCTTGATGTTTGCTCGCGATTGGCGGATGCTTGTGTTTCAGCAATTTGAGCCGCAGGCGAATCACGTTGAGATGGCGTAGCCTTTGTGTCCGAAGGCTTTTGTGCTGTCCGATCAGCCAGCGGGACATCGGCCATTTTTGCATCCTCTATCTCTCCATCTTCAACCTCGGCCTTCGTCGCGCCCGAATCGGGTTTCGACTCTCCTTGCGACCTGTAGTTGCGTAAGATATCAGTATTTGGGATCAACACAGTAAAGTGATTTTTCTCCTCCTGAGGACTTACCCGTTGGTAGTTGTAGGCTTGAACTCGACAGCACTAGCATTCAAGGGGGTGGGTGTTGTAGACGATGGACGTGGTGTGGTTGGTTTTGTTGCTGCACCTGGTCTGCCAGGAACTGGCGGGCTTGCACTCATGAACGCTTGAGGAAGCAACCATTTCTTCTCACGCCGGTTGAGATCGCCAATCAGAGAAGCAGCCGGAATCTTGACATCATCTCGTTCGTCGTTCTGACTCAAGCTGTTCATGCTGGTTAACATGTCCCGGCCTATCCAGTTCACGGCGGGGAAGTTCTGCACAACAGCCTTCAACACGCTGATCGCGTTACGAATGTGCATGTACTCCCCACCGTTCAAGCACGTCTTCAGAGCTGAGGAGAAGAGGCGGTGCCACTTGTACAAAAGCCGACGGAAATCTTCGTACTCCAGATAAATGGCTGGCTTCCCATCCGAGTCAACATTCTTGGCGAATCCAGGAAGGTCTTTCTTGGTGCCAAACGCTTCCTTCTCGTAGACGGCCTTGTCGGCATGCCAACGACCGAGGTCGCGTAAGACCTCATTCAAGAAACGACCCAGGTTATCTGCCTCTCTTGATGTGCACTGGAATATCAGCGCGGTAAGTCTTTGCTCCCTAAATAGCTGATCCAGAAGTCCGACGGTTCGGAAGTTTGGAGTTCCAGTTGTATGCAAGAATTTGAGCATCTTGAAGCAGTAGAATGCATCAATGGGGGACAACAAGAGACGCGGTAGGAAGCACTGCTCAAGAAGGGCAACATTCAACGAATCGTGCTTCCCACGCATACCCGCAAACCAGCGATCCTTTTCCTTCTGTAGTTTGGTCCTTGTTTGCCCGTAGGCTTTCAAGTGGGCCTTGTTCTCTTCCAGTATCCGATCTTGGAGCTGCGTGAGTTGCTTCTTCTCTCGCTCTTTTCTCTGCGTCCCTGCCATGCTGATATCGGACCGATCGTTGCTGATGGCCATGACCTTCCTCTTCTGCCGATCAATTTCATCTTCATACGATTTTTGGGGTATATGCACGTCGTACAAAGACAGCTGCCAGAATGTCACATAGAACTGTAAGCCGACAACGCCCCATGTCTCGGGACTCAACACAGCCTTGACTTGGTCCTGGAGATCTTGCAAGACGGGATTCAAAGCAGGCGCATCGGCAGCGACAGGCCCAGTAGATACTGTAGCAGCGTTATTGTCGGTGTTGTTCACGGTCTCGGCTTTTTCGGCATCGACATCCATGGTATTCTCTGACGGCTGTTCGCCTTCAGTCACGGTCGCCTCCCCATCTTCCGTCGTTTCCATCTTGTCAGTTTCGGGCTTGGGTGGCGATGTCTCTTCGCTCTCGCGACTGGACACCAGTGCGACCGGGGTCTTTGATGACTCTTCATCCTGCATCGTCTTTTCTATATCTGCAACCTTTTTCGCAATACTCGGGCGCCGAATCCAGAACGCTACTTCGGGCTGGATGCCGAAATCGCTGATGAGGGAAGCTAAGTCGGGAACGAACGAATCAAACTCCTCGACCGACAAGTTACTGCGAAGCAGGTCCAGGTACTGAACAAGGATACGGTGAATCTCATCGAAGATGTTTCCCAGGAGCTTGAGCTCTGAAGCGCCTTCTGTTTCTCTGAAGACGCAGATCAGTCGTTCTTGGGCAATGGCAATGAGCAATTGTCCGGCAAGCTTTGAAACAGTGAGAGACTTCATAAGCCGTCTCGAGGTAGTCTTTGACTCGTGTCGCTTATCCAACAACTGCAAGATTGTCTGTGATTGTAAAAGTTCGCCACCTGCCATGGCCTGGATTTGCGCATCGTTGAAATTGTTGTCTGTGATGATTCCCGCCATAGAACTTATCATCTGCTCGAGGATGATCAAATCCGTTGAATTGTTCTGGCGAAGCTGATCCACGACGTACTGCAAGACCGGGGTTGGATCCATCACTGAATATCTCTTGAAAGTCCTTCCTGCAAATGTCGCCAGGGCGTTCAACCAACGACTAGTCAACAAGCCGCCTTCCTGAACGCGGCTTCGTCCCTTCTGGCCCAGCGAGCTGATCATGACCCACGTCAGGATATCGTACCCAAGATATGTGAAGTAGCGCGCACACTCCACAACGACTTCGATAAGATTCTCGTAAGACTCAATCTGATTGATGGCCACACTGATAACGATGCCCGGATTGGCGTAGGCAATCTTGGCCAACGCACGAGCCATAGGTCGAATATTCGTTTTGCTGAGCCTCTTAAGAACATCTTTCGTTTCCGCCTTCGCCTGATCAAATGCCGACTTGATGTCAGGAAGTCTGGACGTCTGGCCGGAGTTCCACTCGGCATACATGTTGTACCGTATCTCTCTAGGGAAGAAACTGATAAGGTCGAAGATCTCATTCACCACACCGGGATTCGCCTTCGTAAGACTGATCGACGGAACCAGGAGGCGTTTGCAAAGATCCTGCCAACGAGCTCTGTTCTCTGGCGAGTGATCTTTGCTCATGCTGTGCTTTCCGATCCTTGCAATTTTTGTTAGTAGGCTTGGATCTTGGCCGATCTTATGACCAGACAGATTAAGGAATGATGAACACAATGCGAAGACGTCGTCAACAGTCTGGCAAATGGGAACATTATCCGCCCAATCATCCCAATAGAACCTGTAGTCGGTTCCATCGTTCGTATCTTCTTTATCGAGCTGAGCCCACCGAAGAACTCGGCGTGGTGGCGCCTGCGTCAGCCGTATTTGTCCCTTTGGCACGCCAGACTGGTCATGATTGAGTATTTGCTTTTGGTCTTTGAGCGCGTCCACCGAGGGCAATGGGCGCAATGAAGAATAGACCTTGCCAAGACAGTGGTGCAAGATGCGGTGAATGAATTCAGGGAGTTCGGGATAGACATCCATAAGCCAGGGGAATTTGCTGAGGATGAAAAGAGACTCGGGGAGAGCTCCAATGGCGAGTAGGCTCTTGAGAAGCATCACTTTCTGGTCAGAAGGTTCAGGAAGCTCGTCCTCCTCTGCCTTTACGCCTGTAGATTTGTCCGTTTCCTGATCTTTTCCTGGAGTCGCTGATCGCGTCTCAGACTCGCGAATGCGTGGAATGGGTAGGGTGTCGTCTGATAGAGCACCAGCCATCATCAAGGCATTGATGCCACCACCAGGCCGTGCTGCCCGTTCGCGATCAGCCTTCTCCTTCAGCTTCTCTTCTTTGAGCGCATCCATGGAGTCATCCGGCCTCCAGAGGTGCGGATACAGGTCACGTAGTGAAATGAAACCAACTTTGATCAATAGAGCCGCAAGGTAGATGAGGTTGTCCGGAAGAACATCATGTTTGGCGCGAGCGCGGGAGGAATAGAAACGAAGCTTGAAACCAAGTAACTGTGCTGCTACTCGACTTCCCTTGGGAGGTAGTGTTCCGGTTTCCTCAATCCATTTCCGCATTTCCTTTTCCTCTTCCGAGAGACTGTTGCTTTCCGGGAGAATTCGCTGTAGCTCTTCTTTGGACACAGGCCGGCGACCGATTTCAAAGAAAGCACGGATCCCGATTTCTCTGACTCTATTCCAGAACTCGTGATCTCGTTGCTCGTTCGCTTTCATTGCTTCGAGACGTTCCTCGTCGGTAGTTACCCACCCAGAAGACCCAGGCAAAGCCCAGTTGGGTAGACCAGAATCACGGTTACCCGCATCGACTGTGCGGAAGGCATCCTCTTTCGGCCACCAGGAGCTAGCACGCAGGAGCTTCACGAAGAAACGGTACTGCTTTACAAGAACAGCAGCAAAAACATCGAGAGTAACATCAAGGACACGGCCTACATCCATATCAAACGCGCCAATCATCGCCTTCACCTTCTCAAATGTGTCCTCGACGACTTCGCTGGAGGGGGGCTCGTTGTTACTCGTTGTAAACAGCTCTGTAAGCAATTTCGAGTATCCTTCAGACTCTTCCCGCAGAAGGTTGTAGTTCGATTGCCGATAAAGGAGGTTCGTCTGCTTGCGAATACCCATGCGTGTGAACGTTTCTCGGACAAGTCCTAGGGATTGAAGGAGTTGAGTGTCGAGTTGGAGGCGCATGAGAGCGGGGTTGATCCTCGTAGAGAACACGAGCGGCCTCAGGGCACTATTAGAAGTGTCGGAATCGGTGAGGATGGATAAAGTGTCCAGGAATAAGGAGCGGGTGTCGAGGATGGCTTGTGTTTGTCCTTCATTCTGCATATCAACATCCTCAGCGGCAACATCTTCGCCAATGACATCCCTGACTGCAGCTCCAGCTTCCTCCGGTGGCAGACGACCGTGTAGGGCGGACCGAATGAGTTCCTGGTATATCGAAGCAAGTGCGGCGGCATCTTGTGCGTCTCTCACTTGGATACCCTTTTCCACAAGATCCTTCTTTCCAGTCGTCGCCCACTCGTCGATGGCGTTCTGTGTAACATATTCGTAGTCGTAGGGTGGCGGGGGCCCGGCAGGAGGCTGAGGAGCCGACGCCTGAGCTATCGGCGCAGGGGCCGGCGTGGGAGTAGGCGCGGGAGATGGATTAATGTGTGACGGTGGTTGTGACGAGGAAAGAGAAGGTGATGGAGGGGGCTTTTGGTGATCTGTTGTTGAAGGCACGCCGTTTGCCTGACTTTGTTCTGAGATGTCTTTCGCGGGAGTTGTGCTGGGCGGGGACATGGCATTATCCCTCCGACCGGCAGGAGGGTTCTGACCATCGGTGCTGGGCCTTCGACCCATGCTATTCCTTCCACCCCGACTGGGTTGCCTTCGTAATCGACCACGCGCGTCAGAGTAATCGCGAGATTGCGGACCGTAGTTATGTTGCGACATGTTGAGATTGCCCGGTCGATGGGGCGATGGCCGTTGACCGTCGTTCCCTGAATCGCCAGACCACGATCTATCACCTCTCTTTCTCTTTCCTCCGGCACCTGGAGCCATGACAGCCCGATTGGAGCTAGAGTGCGCGGATAGAAAACCGATGTGTTCCCGACAGGTCGCAATTCATGCGGCGAACCTAGATTTCCGAGGGTCAGCTTCCTTCACGTGGGACCACAGAGCCGCAATCGGTCGGAGAAATCGATGGAACGCGGTTTAGGGGACTATTGGAAACAACCTGCTGTGGAAAACTCATACGGCGGAAGGAGGGAAAGGATGATGCCTGGGGAAGACACAAAGATCGCTGGTCGGATCAAAGAACGTAATGGCAGTGAATGCACGGGTAGCAGTAAAGGCGGCGGCGTCTACGGGCGGGTGTCGCGCCTCGATCGCTTAGTCTTGAGAGCTCCGCGCTAGGCTTTTTCGGTGTTACCCGCCTGAGGCATTTTCCTTTGTTCACAAAACTCATTAATATTTGCTACTTGTTACGACCAATATATCACTCGGTTTTGAAGTAGAATATATCGCTTCAATGGCGATGGTTCACACCTTACAAAATCCATATCGCATTTTGAACATTATCATGTCATTCATTATATCAATACGTCGTAGTTGGCTACATAAACTTCCGAGCTCCCTCACAGCAAGCCCAAAGCCTTGGCCTCAATGTCAACGATGTCAGGAATAAGCTCCTTCAGACTAGGGCGGTGGGGGTTCCAACCCAATAGCTTTCTGCCACGGTAGGAAGTACCGCGAGAGCTGCTACCCCAAGCATACAGGCCAAACTGATTGATCTCAGTAACCTGTTCGTCGGTCAAGGGCTCAACCTCAGGGGACGGGATGAGCTTCTTCTCGTAGGCCACCTGGGCCACCTGCTTCTGGATGTCACCCCAGCAGAAAGGACCGTTCTCTGCCAAGTAGTAACCCTTGTCGTTCCAAGTGGCCTTGCCACCTCCCGCAGCAGCAGCCTCACTCAGCAGAAGGTAAAGGTCACTCAGATCCTGCACGTTGATTTGGTGCCAGATATTCTTACCCTCACCGACCTGCAGACCCTTCTTGCGCTTCAGGACAGCAGAAGCCAACCAGTATGCCTGCACACTCTTCTGGTTGCAGGGTCCACGACCGGGTCCGTAGATGGTAGGCGGACAGACGATGGCAATCTTGACACTGTCGGGAGCACGCTTGCCAGCATTGATGACAATCTCATCGACGTTGCGGTGGAACGAATCGGCAGGAAGGTTGAGGAGCTCATCCACACCATCCCAGTCATCATGCTGCTTGGCACGTTCCAGACCCCAAGTGTTGCTACGGAAGTCCTCCACGGTCAAGATGCCGGTTCCAGAAGTGTGGATCCACCACACTGGCCGGTCAGGGGTGTGGTGAGTGGCACCCTTCGCAATGGCTTCGGCGGCAGCGACATGATCACAGTCGGCACAGTCTAACCATGGCCCGTGAGTTATACATTCAAATTACAGAAGAGCACGTGAGCAGGGACTCGGGAACATACGGAGTACGATGTCAGCGTTCTTGACTTCCTCCTCGATGATATCGGCCGAGTCAAGGTCACCCAGTACAATCCTTACGTTGGGGTACTTGCTGGTGACCTGAGCGGCTTTGTCCTTGTTGCGCACCAAGACGGAGTACTGCCAGTCAGGATGAGCCTGGTAGACGTCGTAAAAGGTGTCTCCGCCGATGTATCCAGTAACACCGGTGCTGCAATATACGAGGAGCAGCGGTCAACAAGTGTACTAACATGTGTAAAAAGATAAGCGGAAACCTACAGGAAAACCTTTTGGGGAGCCATCTTGTCTTAGTGTTCGTAAGAAGGTTGGTATGAGAATGGATAAGGGATTGCTGGGGAAAGAGTGCTACTAGAAGTGGGGGAGGGGAGCTCGACTTTTATAGCTTGATCAAAACAAAGAGAGACCAACTGCCAGTTCCAGCTTAAGCTCCGCCATGCTTTGAAATCAAGAGTGGGCAAGATGGATCCTCGCAGGTGCAAGAATCAATCAGAAGTTTCAGACCTGGGCAAAAGTGGGGGTGGGGGTACCAAGAAGTAGTAGCTATCCCCATCAATTGCGGGCTTTCCTTGTGCTTCCAGTCTTTACTGGAATGGATGGCTCGGAGTATATGTCTGGTTCCACAGTATGAACTTTCGGCATGAACCTATAAACTTAACATGACACAAACCCTTTTTCACAGTATCCTATTACTACTTTGATCCTGATATTGTGTCGTGGGGATGGATACTCTACTACAAAGTATGTACCCCAGCTACCCCTCATGACGTACATGGGCGGGGCTGAAGCCCAATGAATTCAACAACTGGCCAGTTCTCGGACCATTGCACATAGACACCTCACTGGTACATTACTTGGGTCGCAATTGACAACGTGGCCCACATCTGCCACTCAAGGAACCCGGGTGCCAATATAAAAGTATATCTGAGAGGCTACGGATTGTTTGTATAAGGTAGACGTACATATACTCTTCTTGAACCGACACAAACTTCAAGGGCATGGTACAACATAAAAGGCAAAGCATAGTGGCTGGATTGCGAAACTCAAAGGTGGGCTTATTGCAATAGAAAACCGGCATCAAAGGGGAATCTTGCACAAGAATCATGCCTATAATCTACAGTTGCTCAGAAAGTGCTCGTGGCCAGGCGACTAGCAGCGTTACGAGCGTCAAGGCGATCATCATCGTCTTCCTCCACAATCGAACTCACGCCACTGGCAGAGCGCAGACGCCCCTTCCCAGTGCCCTGTCCATTGACCTCCTCGTCATCTTCAGTAGGTGTTGGTGCAACAAAGCTGCCACTGAGGCTCCGGCCGAGGCTGTCGCTGCGACGCGGTATGCCGCTCCAAGCATCTCCCTTGGGGCCTTGGCTTGAACCAAGATTAGGTCGACGAGCAGTTGGGTGGGATTCGCGTCCTAGACGGCTAAGCCCTCCCGAAGCGTCAATTGCTCGAATGTCAGGTCGCACACTCTCCAAGGTGGCAAGGGTCCTCCGTTCGGATTCAATCTGGCGCAGGGTATACTCGCGGAGGCTGTTCAGCATGTCGTTAGTTGTCCGGTCAAACCACCGTTGCTTCTCAGCGAGTAAGTTCGATGTGACCCGCTGCGTCCGCTTTGTGAGGTAGTCCTCGTGGCCTTGGGCCTCGTCCAGGGCATTGATAGCCTCGTCCACCTTGTCCGGGCGGACGGAGGAGCTGACTTTGAGGCGGTCAGCGGCGGCGCGTTTGCTACGTGTGGCCTGTTGAGCTTGGATCAAATCACGAAGGAGGATGTGGCGGTTGGTAAGAGTCTCCTTGACGATAAAGGCATCGGACGAGTGGTAGCTTAGAGGATCCCCCAGTGTTGTGGCCTCCGCAGTCGCTTGGACGGCATGGAAATCTCCGACGGTTTGGATGATCTTCCCCAATTTCCGGTAGGCATTGGACAGTCCAGGGTGTGTCTCTTGCACGTGCATCTGGCCTAGCTTAACACCAAAGTCCGATTCTGCGAGACCGAGTCCTGGATAGCCAAATGTTAGTACCCTTGATAATAAGATATGAGCCGTCCTAGCGCATACCTCGACGAGCCTTGACGACACGGTCAACCTTGTGACTAGTATCCATTGTTCCTAGATAAAACATCTTCACAATCGGACGCGCATTTTGTAATTCAGGCGTGTCATCGGGGGGCGGCGCAAACTGCTTCAGGACCTTCCTTCGAACCCCAGTTGCGGGTTGTTTCATCCGAACCACAGGACTGTAACCGAAATCACTCTCGACAAACAGGACAACCTCGTCATCATGGGTGAGAACTTCATTGCTCAGTACGACATTCAGCCACCGCTGCATAGACGACTTGACTCTGTGTTCATCCTCTTCGGTTCCAGCGCCGGCAGGGGTAAGTGGTGGAGGGACCGCGGGGACCAACGCTTCCGGATTAGCCGAAATCAGATGGTCCGCAAGCTTGACAAACTCGGCATGGGTGCGACGAACGTCTCGGTACTGCGTTGTCCTGAATTTGGGGATATTCGTCTGGAGCCTGTTGTCAGTAGACGCAGGGCGAGGCAAAGAAGGGCACCACTCACGTGAACATCGAATCGAAGAATAGGGTCCTTCTTGCCCGTTCTTTCTAGCCCCGTAACTTTCGCCTGAATCCTATACACAGGTGCAGGTTGTCTGGGATTCTGTCTTGGGCCCGTTTGGTAGCGGGCGGGGAGCTGAGAACGAGGTTGTTGTCCATGCTGCTGCGGAGATTGTTGCGACTGCTCATCAGCATAGCCGGGCTCACCTAGGTGTGCACCCTGCAGTCGCGCAGACAAGTCAGGCGATCCAGTCTCGTTCTCCTGGAACCCAGGAGCTTCGGTAGGCTGCGATTCGGCATTGTAGGGATCTTGGGGAGGCAAGGGGGCAGGGGGGATGTCGCTAGTCACGGAAGCCGGAAATGTTGTTTGTGTCGGGCGTGGTGAAGCCCAAGGAGAAGTACCTGCGGGATGATCAGGATCGTGTGATATGGCGGAGTAGTCCATCGTGGCTGTCTTGGTCTAATGGGACCACGTCTACACCGCGCTGCGGGCGCGCAATCATCAGTATTGTCTCGTCTGGTATGGTTATGGTTGCGGATCAATTGGTGTTCACCTATTGGTACTCAGAAAAACAATTGGGAAGAGGGAAATGCCGAAAACTCTCAAGAGATCGGGCTTAACAAAGGAAAGGCCGATGCAAGCGTTGAGATGGGGGAGGGGAAACTGTTCAACTGAGCGGAACGGGATGGACTTCGGAGGTTACGTCGTTGGTGCCTATGCAGCCTGATTGGCCAGGCATCTGCAGCCCCGGTCACTGGACTGCCGGAAAAGCTTCAGCAGCTTCATTCATACTCCCAGTTCCTCCGCACACACTACCCTTTGAAGGGCTGGACCTTTCTCTTTTCTACATTATTATCCTTGTTTCTAGTTGTCTTCG